GTCCCTGCCCCCTTTAGTTCCTACCCACCCTCCAAGACCATCCAGACTTAAAACACCTGTCAACCAATGGTTGTTGGCATCAATTCAAACGCCAACAGGAATCCCCAAATTTCCCCAATTTGGGGCACAGTGAGGAAAGAAACTTTAGTGCCAACAGCTGGACAGTAATACAGCATGGCTGTGAAACGGCTCACGTGGGCTGCGCTGGTCTGCTCCGCTCTGGGAGGCAGCTTCAGGGTTCCAACCCCAGCCAGGGAGACACAACCTCCGACCTTCAGTGGAAAGTACGTTGTCAGCTGAAGAGGGGAGCTGACTTATATACACAGAAGTTCCCTCTCCGCCCCCACTCCTTAATTGATCAGAAGAGAGCCGCTCTAATTGGTCAAAGCTGCGCAGTTCCGATTGGATGGGGAAAGCCCCAGTCCTATTGGTTGAAATAGGATTCCAGGAAGTCCTTTATAAGGGTGGGCTCAGCCAACAGAACCACAGTGCAGGCAGGCCCCAGTGCAGAAATGGTTGCTAGGCTCTGTGGGGGGTTTTGTTGGTTTTGTTTTAGTTTTTTGATGTTTTGTTTTGTTAGTTTGTTATTTGAGCCGTTAACCACCAGGAGCCCTTCTTAGTAGGTGTCTTTTTTTTTTTTTCCTCATCGTTCACACACCCTATGTTAATGTCTGGTCCCATTTGTGGCAGCCAACTCTCCCGCACAATTGGCAAACAAGATAGTCATCTATCTGGTGTGATTTGAAAGGAGCCAGCAAATCCAGCTCCCACTGTGCCTAAATTTCCTCCATTATTGAGGCATTCCTTTGTGTTAGTCATTGCTCCCACCCACGGTTCTCTTTTAAAATGCAAATCTTCTGTGTTGGGGTAACAGCAATTCCCTAGTCCCATAGAAAAAGATATCTGGTCAACCTTTTCACACTGGCTCCCTGGACAGTAGAACCTCCTTAACCAGCAAAGAAATGCAGGAGAGAGAATTCCGATCTTACCTGCTTCACAACTTTACCCAAGGCCGGTTCAGACTTTCAGCATGCTCTTCTGGAAGCATATTTTTTAAAAAATATATTTAATTGATTTTTTACAGAGAGGAAGGGAGAGGGATAGAGAGCTAGAAACATCGATGATAGAGAAACATTGATCAGCTGCTTCCTGCACACCTCCAACTGGGAATGTGCCCGAAACCAAGGTACATGCCCTTGACCGGAATCGAACCTGGGACCCCTCAGTCCGCAGGCCGACGCTCTGTCCACTGAGCCAAACCAGATAGGGCTGGAAGCATATTTTTAAATCTGGTGTTTAAGAACCCATCCTCTCTTCCTACCTGCACCCCCAGCCACTATCAACCGCAGCAATTCCATCGAGCCACCCAACACATAGAAAAGAAGCAGGTGGTGATAAAAATGAATCCTGTGGGTGGGCAGGGGCGCGGCCCCATCCTGCTATCCCAATACACCTTTTCTAAGCCAGGCCCAGGAGAGCTTCTGGTGCTATGACGTCATCGGATGTCAGTCCTTTGACAAATGAGTGCAGCCCGCAGCTGGAGCCTTTGATAAGCCATTTGCAGGCGTCTGGGAGACATCCACGCTGGCCTCGGGAATGCATCCTACCCCATCTCAAATTCACATCGTTTTGTGTTTTTTTAAAAGCATGCCACGCATCTGCGAAGATTCATGGCTTCAAATATTTTTTTCTTTTTTTCTGACATTTCACCTTTTCTCCTTATTTTTTTTTTTTTAAGGAAAAGAAAATATTCACTCCAAGGTTCATTTAGTTTCTGGGTAATAACTGTCAGATATTAATGGATCGCCCCATACATCCAGCATAAAATAATAGAATTTGTTGAGTGCATTAGACATCCAATAATGGGCACAGCGGACAGTGCTGTGGAGCTGAAGAAAGGCTTCTCTTAGTAAACGAGAATGCATGCCATGGAAAACAAGACATAAGGGACATTCGTCAAAATGCCCTCTTGTACCTTCATACATTTGCACATGCAAGTCCCCCACCTGGAAATTGTTTTCTTGCCTTTCCTTCTCAACAAGACTCACATCAGCCTTCTCTCTCTCAGGAAGCATGCCGCCGCCCCTCGTCTGCACTCCCACCCATCAGGCCCTTCTCCCTGTAGCATCCCGGGCTTGCTCCCGCCAAGGCACTTGTCATACTGCACTGAGACCCTCCACTGCACTGGTGTCCTCTGGAAAGTCTACCCTCATGGAGGGGAGGGCTTGTGCCTTCTCCCTTTGCATTCCCGTCACCTTCCACTGTCTGAGATTCAGTGTAGTAGATGCTGCTGGCGGCCACCTGTGCCCCCTGGCCCTGACCACTTCAGTGCAGATCTTTCCAGCTCCAACAGGCACCATCTGCATCTTTGCCCGAGTGTTTTCTCTGGCTTCTGGAGCAGGCTAGGGAGTGGGCATACTCTCACCCCTCCCTGGATGGAAAGTTGAGCTTGTGTTCAATATTGGCTTGCAAAGTTGCCCAATGGTATGAAATTCCAGTTGCCCAAATAGATTGATAACGTGCTCTTCATTGAATGCCAGCCTGCCTCCCCTTCCTGACTTCATTTGCCCACTTCCCTACTGATGTTTCCTGGGATTACCTCTCAAATAAACTACTTGCATTCAAATCTTCGTCTCAGGGCCAGCTTCTAAACCACATAATAGATGCTCAACGAATTATCTTTGAATGGATGAAGAAATGGGTGGTGGCATTTTCACAGCACAAATATCAAACAGAGCTCTCTAAGGCTGGCTTTTCTGTAGGGTCTGGATTATCCATGTTAAGCGACCACATTGAGTCAAATTCAAAGTCACCTTGACAAGTTTCTCTTCACTATGGACCAAGCAGACAAGGCCAAGTACCGAGGAAGATTCCATCGTGTGGGACAGAAGCCATGCCAATCTGGTTTGGATTTGGGTCCGCTGGCCAACCTGGTTCCCACCTTTTCCCTTCAATAATCTGTCATGTTGCCGCTTCAACAGGGTCCGAGTCGTAGGGTTCTATTTAAGTGAGAAGCTGTCAACCTGCATGTGCTATCCCGTTCCCAGGGGAGACATCAGCAGCTAAGAGTCTGTCCTCACTGTTGTCTCTCAGCCCTTTCGCTAACACAGGGGGCTGAGAAATAAGGAAACAAGTGAAGGTGTTGTCGATAGCACAAAGTCTGATATTACTGATTGCCTTTCCCCCAATGATCATCTGTCCATTAGACTCTCGCCTGGTTCTAACAGACCATTTCCTGCCCAGCCTGATGTTTCTGTCATTCATATGGCTCAAGGGGGGTTTTCTGGAAGTATCAAGCTTATCGGAGATGAAACTGACCACTGACATTCTCTCTATTTGAAAAATACTTGGAAAGTTTTTGAATTTCCACATTTATAATAAAGTATGTTTCCTGACAAGATTTCAGAATTAAGATTTTTCTCCTTTAGGTCTAAGAGGTTGGATACCAACTTGCCCCACGGGTGAAAAAGGAACCCAAAAAAATAGCTAATACGTATTAAGTCTCATAATGTGCTGAGAGCACTGTGTATATTATATCCTTTAACCCTCACCTAGCCCACAGGACTTTCTGACCGTCTCCACCTGACACGTGAGGAAGGAGAAGCCCAGAGAGATTACGGAACCGGCCCAGAGTCTTTAGGATGGTAAGTGGCAGCACAGGGCACCTGCCACAAGCCTGAGCTCTTGGCACTCAACTGGCTCAACAGTTACTGAGCACTCATTATTGCCAGGGGTTGTCATGTAAACCTTCCTTGATTTCTTGTTTCATCTTCTATTCAATATGCTCTACTCAGTAGTATTTGTTTGCATTTGGGGTCCCCCCAAAGGACACCGTCAGATAAGGATGTGACCACAAGTCTTTGATTTGGGAGGGGGTTCTAGAAGGCACCAGTAAGGGAGCAGGGAGGTGAGACAGGAGAGGGAAGGCAGCCACTACCAGGAAAGGGTTTGTCAGTGAGCAAGTTACTACTGTGGGCAACTGGGACACCCAAGAGGCACAGGTGCCAGCAGTTGGAGGTCATGCCTGCATACATTGAAGGGCAGGGTGTGGGTGCATGGCCATGGTGCCAGCTGTGCCTGCCATAGTTATCATTGCCCACATGTACAGATGAGGAAGCAGGGACTTTAAAATATGCTACAGAGGTCTGGGCAACCAGAGATGGAGGCCGTGATCACATAGTTACTAGAAATCTCAAGACAGCAAAGACAGACAACACTGTCTCTGCTCTTAGAAAACTTTTACGTTAGACTACATCAAGATGACCCTCCGCCCTAGGATTCGGTTCTGGGGGGTTGCTGGGTCCCCTTGGGAAGCCCCAAGGAAGACAAAGGCAGTAGATGTTGCTAACAGAAGAAACAGAAATAACAACATTGAAAAGAGGAAGGTTATCAGTATGCTTCCTGTAATAGGGCAAAACTTTAAATAGAAGAAAATTCCACACACCATGAGGACAATGTGTTCAACCTTTCTGATTACTCAAAAGCAGCAACAACAAAGAGATACCTCCAGGTTTGAGAAAGAAAAAGACCTAATAAATGACCTTTTTTTTCGGGGAATTTCCTGCTCGCCTGAGGCCACAAACCCACCTTGGGCCAACCACAGGAAACAGGAGTTGCCCGGAATGAGAACCCTCCCTGGAACTGGTCTGACTCCCAAGGCAGTGGTGCTGTTAGCAGAATGTTCCAGGAAAACTCCCTTTTCCCAAGGGAGAAAGCCAATTCAGCTGAGGGAATGGCTCTTGAACCATAAAACTTCAAGTCATTTCTTTTACAACTCAGAGCAGTGCTGTACTGGCAAATGTGGTAGGCAGAGTAACGGCCCCCAAAGACGTTCATGTCCTAATCTCCAAACCTGTTAATATATTACCTTATATGGCAAGAGAGACTTTGCAGCTGTGATTACGTGAAGGACCTTCAATGGGGAGATCAGCCAGGATTGCTCGTGGGCTCGATGTAATCGCAAGTGTCCTTATAAATAAAAGAGGGAGGCAGGACAGGAGGTCAGGAGCCTGCCAGTGCTGGCTTTGAAGCTGGAGAAAAGGAGCCAGGAGCCAAGGTATGTGGGTGGCCTCTAAAAGGTGAAAAAGGCAAGGAAATGAATTCTTCCCTGGGTCTCTAAAAGGGAACTCAACCCTGCCAACACCTTCGCTTTAGCCCAGCGAGACCCATGTCAGACTTTTAACCTTCAGAACTGGAAGAGAATAAATTTGCCACTGCATTTGTGGCAACGTGTTACCACAGCAATACAAGACCAACACCCCCAGGCCCCAGGGAGCCGCCAAGCTGGCAGGCTACTCAGGTTCCCAGTGAGCACTGTGGGGCTAGAGTAACCTCACAGTTACCCCTTTAAGAGGATGCAGGAAATCTGGCAGGGGGTCCTCACTTCTTGGGCGACAGACAACAGTGGTCCCCAGGACATGTCAGGGCCTAAGAGGACTCCCCGCCCCTGCAGGCATCTGGGGGCTACACACCACAGAATTAGCAAGCAGTTCCTTTGCAGGGATTTACCGAGCTAACTGGAAACTCTACCGCAGCTGTTTCTCATCATCTTCAGATGGCTTTAATCACATCGAGAATCATAAACCAGTGGTTCCCAAACCTGATTGGGCCTCAGAATTACTTGGGGGCACTTGCTAAAGAAGTCCAAGGCTACGCTGTCTCTGCCCTTAGCTGCTTCAGCCCAGGCCTCCTGAGTCAGAATCTCTGCGGATGAGGTCTGGGAATCGGTGTGTTTAACAAGCATCTCCAGGGATTCTGGCACCCACCTGTGGACCAGAATTTAGGAAACACTGTCCTAAACTTCTCAGCTTTCAGAGCCTCATGGAATGCTTCAACCAGCCGAGAGAGGAGTTCAAACCCCTCAGGAGAGCTGTGTTAATGAAGAGGCTTCACCATGAGAACATACACTTGCAACCTAGAGCTGAAGGTTGGTCCCAGAGCTGAAAGTCCACCATGTCAGCAAAGGCCCCTGTCTCCAGACTCAAGCTCTACCACATCTCCCAGGCCCTGGCCTCAGCCCCACTGCTCCAAGACCTCCATTAACAGAGAGGCAAACTTGAACAATACCCAAAATGGCAGACACTATTGGTTGACTATTCAACAGCCTCTTCTTCCTTATTGCTTTCTTTTTTTCCTTTTTAAAATTTTAATTTATTGATTTTATGAACAGAGAGAAACATCCATTTGCTGTTCCATTTATTTATGTTTCTTGTATGTGCCCTGACCAGGGATCAAACCTGCCACCTGGGCATATCAGGGTGATGTTCTAACCAGCTGAGCTACGTGGTCAGGGCCTCCCTTATTGCTTTCTAACAGAAGCTTAGTTTTGCTGGCAGACAACAACTGAGCAAAAAAGGTGGGTGTCTCCCCCAGCCTCAGAGGACAATCCAGTCAGGAATCCAATTCTTTTTGCCAATGATTAGGGAAGAAATGATCCCATGACCCAATCTCAGTATATAAAACCCTAATATGCAAATAGACCAAACGGCAGAACAACCGAACAACCAGTCACTGTGACATGCGCTGACCACAAGGGGGTGCGTGTGGAACATGGTGGGCGTCGGCCATGGCAGGATGGTGGAGCAGGTGAATGGGGGCGCCAGACCAAGGTGGGGCACCAGTGCTGTCATTGGAGCGAGCCTCTGGTGGTTACTGAAAATTCTTTGCTCCCTTGCACAGTGGTCCCGCCCAGCACTCGTACCTGCTGCTGGCCTGGCCCTGCTCGCACTCGCTGCCGGCACTGGAGCCACCGATCGCA